ACTTTCACACCAAACGGCTCAGCGATGGCGGCGAGGTTTCGAGCCTTACACCCCGGTCGCCCTTTACCCCCCCCCCCAGGAAGATTCCTGGTACTCATTTCTGTTAGAGGCTGAATCGACCCCAGGACCATAGTGCGGCTGGAACGATTTATATGAAAATACTTCGAAGGAATATGGCCATTTGGTAGGCAACGGCTCCATAATCGAGTCGTTGCCAGGTAGCAAGTCACTTAACACAGACATTCCCGTGACAATGAACACAATACGAGAGGAACTGCTCGACATGGCGACTTACATTCCGGTCGCCTGTAAGTTGTATAAGAATCGTAATTCATTCGTCAGACAGACGTCGTTCGAGGCAGTTCAGTGTGTGAGCAGTCATTCGTCATTCGTCACAGTGCAAGGAAAGGCACTCGTGATTCAGTTAAGGAATGGAGCCCTAAGCAGTCATTGACTCTGACCTGTTATAATCGATTGTAATTGTAAAGAAGTGCCAATAAATCGAATCCAGGTCCCATTATTATTAGTCACGCAAACCCCGATACGTGACAATATAAATAACAATTTTGTGTGGGTTTTGTACCCGTTGCTCTCTTACTGGTTGCTTGAAGGTTTGTGACAACGCTCGGAACGTCGTATAAGCGTGAGTGAGTGACAGTGACAACCAGCAGCGTCACTCCTTAGCAGAGCAGTCAGACCCCTCCTCTCCTCGAACAAGAGCCTTGGTCATGAGTTCCGACGGTGTCCGAAAGGAAAGACGACTGTGCTGGCGAAGGCCAGAACAATTTATTGGACGTGGGTCGAGGTTTATTCATTGTCAATAGGAAATTTCGTGGTTACCATGGAAACGAAATTCATAAAATCGCAAATTCTTCAGCATGTGCACAACTGGCGGCTCAGCTCCGTGGAGGAACAAACATCGCCATGCAGGATCTCTCTCCATAAGGTTGGCTGCACTGCCAGAGGACGCGTCTTATTATTAAGGAAATCAGCCTTCATATCCGCATTTATCGTTACTTTCCGCAGCGTTTCGGGGCGAGGGCCGTGTCTGAACGGTTTTCGAACTGAATAAACACGAAGAATTCACAGAATTTCTAAATTTCCTAATTTGATCGTCACCCACATTTCTGTGTTCCCAAAGTCGATCAGAGTGGCCGCGCGGTCTAAGACGTGGACTGTCTTCGTTCGCTCGAACGCTGGGATCGTGGGTTCGAATCCCACTCGAGGAATGGGCGCTTCTGGGTGCGTTTATTCTGTGTTTGTGTTGTCCTGTGTGTAGGTAGAGGCCTTGCGACGGGCTGATCCCCAGTCCAAGGAACCTCACCGACAGTGTATAAGATCAAGAAAGTGAAAAAGCGGCCAAGGCCCAACAAAGGGCTGCAGAGCCATAATGAGAATAATAAAGCCCAGTAACACCAGAGCCATTCCTATGAATTGAGGATATCACGAACTACTATGCATAGGCAAGTCAATATTTGTAGCGTCTGTTTTCCATTGTCTCTGACAGACTGCTTGAATGATTGATGGATTCATTAATTATAAATCAATTGAAAATATGACAATATAACTCAGTCGGTAGAGCGACGGGCTGTAAGGCTTGGGTTCGAGTCCCGTGAGTGCAGAATTTTCTCTTCTCCATGTCGTCTGGGGTCCACCCAGCCTCTTATCCAATGGGTACCGGGGGCTCTTTCCCAGGGGGATTAAGTAGCAGGGGCGTGAAACTGACCACTTACCTCTCTCTAGTGCCAAGGTCAGGAATGGTGGAGCTATACTTCCATTCTGCAATATCTCTTCTTGGCATAGCGCTTGACTAATTACGCACACGGACAAGTTTACCTTTTTCTTTAAAAATCGAAATTATGTTTACGAAGAAATTAAAAGTTGATTAAGTTCAGGGATTGCTTGTCATTATTCCGTTCAAAACCCTTTAGTGTCCCTGTCTGATGTGTCTATGTTGCCGTACCTGGTGGCAGGACCGCTGTGGGTCTCGGTGCTAGAGGCTGTTCCACCGAACTGGGACCACCGGCCAGTGCAGCCGGTGCCTCCCGGCCGTAGAGCACGCTCCTCTGCGCCAAGACACTTCGCTCGTTGCGGCGAAACTTCGCCCTTCTGTTCTGGAACCAGACCTGCAACAAAGCGCCATCGTCGGTTAATCTCCGACGCTACACTGAGTACAGCGTCGAATGATGTAGCTTTTGAAAGACGCGGTTTGGGACTGAGGAAAACCACATAGAAAATAATGGAATTTCTCGGCCGAGATTCGAACTCAACACTTCCCCTGTATGACTAGACAGTTACACCAACCCTTGTGTCTGTGTTCTGGGATATAACGCCGTATAGTCCGTTAAAGTCAACCGACGTTTCGGAGGAACATATCCCCCCGTCTTAAGACTTGCAGAATAAAGCAGGTAAGAAGCTAAAATGAAACAGGCACCAAGCTGGGATAGTTTCTTGCTTGGCTTAATCTTCGACCCAGAAGATGGAGGTGGTATGTTCCTCCGAAACGTCCGTTTAACTTTCATAAGACAACATGAAAGTATATCACAGAAGACAGAAAGTCGCTGTGCTGTTCCTGTGCGTAACTATTTAAGCTCTACGTCATGAAGGCGTATGTGGGAGTGAATGTGTAGAGCCACATTTGCTTGACCTCGGCACTAGCTGGAGGTGAGTGGTCAGCCTCACGCCCCTGTCCCTTTGCCCCCGGAAAACAACCCCCGGTACCCATTGGATAGGAGGTTGGGCGGACCCCACAGCCGGTCTGGACGAGGTGGTGAAGAGGAAATTCTGATCCTACCGAGACTCGAACTCCGACCCCTTAGTCGTCCAGCCCGTGGGCAGTCTCTATACCGACTGCGCTACCGCGGCTCACACTCTTTCAACAATCTTATGTTAGTTAATGGTATTATATTGGTATAGTATTGGGAAATGTTTTTATTGTAATTGCAAATGTAATTGTATTGGTGTAGCATGTGAATCTTACTGTTGTACGTGTTTCTTGTCACGTGTTTTTTCGAGTGTGGCGGGCTATTTTGTATATTGTGACTTATTGTATTACCACTGCTACCTGGTAAAACCCCATTTGCAATGAAATAATAATAATGATATCACATCAGAATTCTTTTTAATAGGAACCTACTATTTTAGTTATCTGTTATAGTAGAAGTCTTCATCACAGTTTTAATTATGAATAGCATTCGAAGCCTTTGATGTTGCTTGCCTGGCAGAAAAGGCTTGTGCGTTTCGTAAGACGAAAATAATTTCCAATGCACAAGGCGAGGTTGATGTGACAGTCTGATATGCTCCTGAGAACAAGCGTGTACTCAGCACAAGAAGTAAAGCGATATCTTACAAGAAGATGTGGCCGAAACATTAATCAAGATTGACGTTTGAGTTATTCAGACACGTAACTTCAGTGTAAAAACATTTCTACAGCAAGAGATGTTTCTGTTACACGACATGGCGGATCACGCTTCATAGACACGGATCTTACGTAATGAGGAACGGCTGTCAGGATCCGTGGCTTGTAACTCGAGCTCCCGAATTAACACGGATCACATGCGTAAAGATCCGAAGGCCGTGATTACTGCGTACGCTTCTCAGTATTTATACCTCGTCTGTTTTTAATACGGATGGTTTCTAAGGCTTCTCTCTCTTCTTGGGCAAAGTCCTGGTCAAACTGCAAGCACGGCGCAACATGGTAGATATTTCTGTGTCAAATGCGCAAATAAGCAGGACAGGAAAAGTTAAGAACGTTTCGAAGGGACCTACTGTGTCTATCTGCTGGAGCGAAGAGTAGAGCTTTTTTTTGCTACTTGCTTCCTTTCATTACATAACGAGACCCTGCAGATGGGTTCAGTACGTTCAGCCGAAACGTAGGTGAAGTTTTATACCACACTATACAACGACACATCCCAGAATACAGGACAATTGCTCTTCAAAAACCGTTAAGGAGTCAAATTTCGGCATGAATAATTACATTTTTAACATACCTAATAATGGATTTTAAAAACACGGCCACTGACTTAACTGCGAAGGCGTGATTTCAAACGACATGGCATAATGTGGTAATCATGAATTTCGTAATTTCGTGGCTTTCGTTAAGTCTGGTCTGAAAAGTTTTATTTTATCTGCACACCGGTCGAACGTTAATTCTCGGATAAGGAAGCGCGGATTTGCGCATGCCCCTCAGTTCTTTCACAGTTTCAGTCGGGCCGAAATCGCAGCGCTGGGATTCAAATGGCTATAGACACAGCCGAGGCTTATACCGATGTGTAACTTCCCCTGCTTTCTCCAGTATTCGTTTCCAGTCCTACACGTTATCAAGCGATAGGTCGGGACCGAAGTTGAACTCCAACTACCACGAATAACAAGCACAAATGGTCAACTGTAAACTATCCCCTTCATTCCCATATGAGAATGGTATAATTAATCACACGATAGGCACGATATACCGAAAGAAAAGAGAGCACGCTCGTTACCTAACACGTAACGTACTTTCGTGCAGGGTGTTTAGCCTCGCCGTTCGTTTTATGGTAACCCGACACAGCGCAATTTCAAAGATTCTATCTCATGTTACATTACTTTGTTTTTCATATATACATATAAGAGCCGACTAAGAGCTAGTCGGTATAGCTATGGGCTGGACGGCCTGGGTTCCATTCCTGACAGGGGCAAGATCTTTTCTCTCTACTCCATAACGTTCAGCCCGGTTCTGGGGCCCACCCAGCCTCCTATCCAATGAGTACCGGGGGTAAAGTTGTTGAGACGTGAAGCTGACCACTCAACTCAATCTAGTGCTACGTCAAGAATGGTGGAGCTATACCTTCATTCCTCCATACATTTGCATGGCGTTTTGATCAATTAAACATAGGGACATTTTTACACACCGAAGTAGGTTATGTTACCGGGTGTTTCTACCCCAGTATAAGGCCAATGCACAAGAGAACACAGAAGATTATACAGAGTGAATCGTATAGAACCGGCCCGATGAATTTGCTAATAATTCCGCAGGTGATGCATATAACCGCTCACAATTACGACATAATAATCCGTGGGCCGTGCTGAGTCGAATGGTGTGCGCATGATCCGGCAAGTGGCAGCCCTTATGCTGCAAGGTCAAGGACAATTCTGAAACGTGTCTGCAGTGCGCAGGCGACAGTCATGGAGTTCACTGTTGAACAGCGACTGTTTCTCGTGCGCACGTACTGGGTGACAGGCTCGATTGAGAACACACAATTGGAATTCAGGAGGAAGTTTGGAGTTCGCAAGAAGCCTGCGAAATCGACTATACAGTCCTTGGCTCAGAAATTGGAGAGGACAGGGACACTTTTAAGTCAATGTGGTAAAAACCGCCCAGAAATGTCAGAAGAAACGATTGCAATTGTGCGGGACAGGTTACTGCACTCTCCCAAGAAATCATTACGACGTCTAAGCCAGGAAACCGAGTATTCTTATTCAACGTGTCAGCGGGCAGCAAAGAAAGCGAATCTTCGTCCCTACAAGATCACCAGTGTTCAGGAATTGGGTGATGTTGATAAAGATAAACGGGTGCGGTACTGTTTATGGTTTCGGGAATTCGTGCACGATAATCCCAGAATTTTGGATATCACTTGGCTTAGTGATGAAGCATGGTTCCACCTATCAGGATGTGTAAACGCATAAAATTCTGGGCGTCTGAAAACCCACATGAGATTGCTAATCACCACTACACCCACAAAAAGTGGGTGTGTGGTGCGCCATTTCTGGTTTACGAATCATTGGACCGATCTACTTCCACACGACCGTGGGCAGCACCTTATACTGCCGTATTTTTTACAATTTCGTGCAGCAGCTGGATGATGTGGAACTTACACAGGGGTATTTTCAGCAGGATTCAGCAACGTGCCACATGTGCAACATGTCCATGGAACTGATTGAGAGCTGCTTCCCCAATCGCGTCATCTCTAAAATGATGTGGCCCCCAAAATCCCACGACCTTACCAGCCCGGATTTTTTTCTCTGGGGTTTACTGAAGGACGTTACAGGATTTGAAGGACAACATTTCGGCTGAAATCAGGAAAATCACTGAAGAAACACTGCAGCGAGTCATGGCGAATAGCAAACACGGGTGGAGGCATGCCTACTTGAAAACAGCGGACACTTTCAACACCTGCTCTGATCACGGCACAGAACCCAAGATAAGATATGTGTAAATTACTTTAATATCTGTATGTTATATTTTATATTACAGCTCATTTCGTCGGGCCGGTTCTATATGAATCACCCTGTACATGGGACGATAGACACATTACGGGCGTGCGAGAGATGTAGGTGTGTACACGAAATAAGACAAATGTTAGAACTGTTTTCCGGAGGAGACATCGCTCCTGGCGTCAGCAGGGAGAGGCTCTCAATGTTCCCCACAGCCGAGCTGAAGCAGACCGTGCCGTGTTTCCCGCCACATCATTAACTGCAAAGCGATGATTTGTGGATGAAAATGAGGCAAGTAAGTGGCTGCTGGAAGTGACTGTAGCCACGGCGTCACAGCTCATCCATCTCTTCCTTCTGTCCCTCTGTCCTCGAGGGGGTTCCCCCGGAAACAAGGTCGCTGGGAACTGCGTTCCACTGTCGCGCGTCAGTATAATAACACTGTAATAACATACTAACACTCTGCTTCTGATTAGATGTTATCAGCCCCGGGTTTCTTGAACCGGTCCGTGTGCGTTGCAGGTTTAAACTTTACATGCAGTGTACCTGAATTTTCTTTTCGCGAAAAATGTCCTCACGCAGATACATATGATCAACACAGTAAAACCCTCGTTCCTCCGGATTAGTGACGCGAAAGATAGCACCAAAACACAAAAGAATACACTTAGGAAACAAATAAATGGAAAATTTAATAATATATTTAGTGCCGATAAAAATAATTAAAAAATATCACTGCAGCAATTTCTTCCTCTCTCAGAAGCTGAAATCCATGGTCTTCTTCATCCAGCTCAAGCCAATCTTGAATATTTTCTTGCATGGTTTCAGTCTCTCCAGCTGCCCTCAACACAGCCTGAAAGTCCTCTTGCCCCTAAATTCCATGTGTCTTTTAAAGCATGTACTCAACTGTGAACAGAATTTCTTCATTCTTTCGTATTTAGAT